GGTTTATATACTGTATTAATGAGTTGTCGTGAAAACAATGAAATGGCTTTTGGTCATGAAGTTGATGTTAGTTCTGGTGAAGCGGTCATTAATTATTATAATAACACGATTGCCCACTCAGCGTACAACCTCTAAGTCCCTGTGTCGATAATGGGATAATGTGGCAATGTGTAATTTGTTTCCCGTATTGTCAAGGGTAAAGCCTGCTTCATGGCCTTAATATTACCATGAAAACCTCACTATCCCCCTGTGGAGTTGTACGAAGAACAAATGGCTTTTTAGGGCAATGTGCAAGCTAGAACGCGTAGAATTGCATTTCTTCTAAACTACTTCCATAACCGGAAGCTAGTTATTTTTAAGTGATTTATAAGTGCAGAATTTGGCTGTTGATTAGTCCTCAACTCTCCATAAAATGCTTATTCATTTAAGCAAGTAGGTTTTCGAATTTTACTTCAAAAACGTCTCAGTGAGTTAATACGTCGCTTTAGTTCCGTTGATTGCAGAGATCTAGTCGGCTAGGGTCGCGGTAACTTCACTCACATGAATGTGAACTTTTAAGTTATGCGTGTACTTTTACAAGGGCCCGAAAAATTTTAATTGGCACGTTGGCTTGACAAACTATGTGAAACTGGTCTTTCGAAATGCGCCGCCGACCACAACAGTATTTTGGAGTTATGGACGGCATTTTCGTTTAAGCAATTGAAATTATCAAGGAGAATTAAAGCTTTTACTTGCACAAAGTCAGGTTCGCTTGGTATTCTATGCTCATACGGGAGTGTTCATGTGGTGGAAACTTGGTTATTAAAGTGACTGGAATCACTGATTATACCATAAAACGTATTCTTTTTACAAGACCACGCGTGACGCTTTTATCTGGATTATAATTCAGAGAAGGAAACAAGCCCGGTTTAAGTGATGTTAGCCCCAGAGCAATTAAAACTGCCACTGCATGCTTGCCTTACGATTAGCTCCCAGGTAGTGGAGTCACATTTCATGGTTATGTGGCTCCGACTACAGCGTGCGTGGGGGAGGAAACAACGAATAAATTGAGGACTCAAGAGCATCTCCTGATCGCCTTCTTTATACAGACAAGGACTACGATATTAAGTGACACATTGTTTTAGGAAACCTGATTGTTGTTTTTCGTCTTGCCGTGTTCTGAGGTAAATGCGCCTCTCCTTGCTTTGACAACAGGTTGAGCTTTACTTAATAACTGTTCGCGGTTTTAGATATATTTTGTCCTTGGGTAATTCAATTAATCAAAGAATAACTAGACACTTCTGATCTCATTTACCTCGTCCGTCATGTGTTCTCCCACTCGAATTCAAAATTATATTGGAAGAAATAATAGTTTACTGTGTCACGTACACCTTGACATCGACCACCTCACGACAGTCCAAGTTAGATTGCAATCTATTGGCCAAAAAGAGATCCTAACCACGATCACCAACTATCATTCACTTGAGCTATTGCCCTCGCAGACGTTGCTGCTTGTAAAATCATATGGGAATGTTACCAAATCAGGTGTAGCAGTCAAAACAAAAGAATTAAAAGCCAATAATCGGGCCTCCTGTGAAAAAATCGTGTGGTTTCTTTGCTTAAGCGAGGTCCTCAAAGCGAATGCCTAGACATTACACGAAAAAGAAGGCTTTGATAATTCACCATACTGCTTAGCTTTTTTTATTTTTAATCTGAAAGTGATTTGAGCAGTTTACAAAAAGTGCGCATTAAAAGTTGTTTGTAACAAAAAAATACGCTCAGAGGATCAATAGGCACCTTCCTTGTATGATCCAAGCCCTACGTCCCCAGACCGGGACAATGTCAGGACTTCGTGGACAGCGCTTTTGCTGCCTCAGTCACGGGTTGAGTGTCAACTCAGAATGATTAGCTTGAGCCACCTCGACTTGATGCATTAAGAGATCCAACCGCACACAGGACCTGTTAGTGTAAATTAGAACGTGTGATGAAACAATAGTGTGACCATTAAGATGATAAGCTAAGGGCAGCCATGTGAGATTAGAAAAAGTGTGAATAGGCTAGTTACTGATTTCGATGCCACGAAGACAACTGTCTTGAGGAATGCTGACTTCCGGAATAGTATGTGTCTTTCCCATGGCTTTCGTCGACATGGACGCTTCATCACCTTCTCGATGTGCCAGATCTTGTGCTTCTCATGCACCAACTCATCACTTCAATGAAAATAAACTATCTATACACTTCAAAGCAAATTTAATCGTTCTCCTGTCAGAGGCAGTGAAGGTCTTTTAAACTGAGTGTCCAACGCGCTAAGCATTTTTTTCGTTATTTAGAATCAATTTGTACAAATAATCCTCTTTTCAGACCTCTTAATACACCACTTCAAATGCATTCAGCAATGCAGGTCAGTGAGTATTTTAGATTTCTTCATTCTTTTTTACCATTTAGGCTCTTTTAATTAGCTCTTTCCCTCATTCCAAACAGCTAAAATAATCATCTTCATTCGCTGCAAAATCTTTATCACCAATGTAACTATACTATACACATAAAGTACATATTTCTAATTCTGATTCCCCATCTGGAAGATAATTTATTTCCTAACAAGACTTAATTTCTTGCTCCTCGTGTTGTGGGCCTCGTTTCAAACAAAAAAGCCTTAAAATGCATCGTCGTGTTTTTGAATTAGGGCATCATCTCTCTGGCCTTGGGTCTAACTTGAACTTCTGATTGTTTGTGTATGGGTCACAAATCGATGAAGTAACCCCAAACCCGGCACCGATGCACAGCGCTTTCTAACTTCCTTGCTCTTCACAAATTTTGACTGATTTACACATCTTAAAACCATGTTTATGAAGACCACAGTTCTGCGAATGTTAATGGACACAGGTTACACTCATCTTTTATTAAATTTAATCGTTTATTAATAACAGCATTGTTTGTGGTTGAATCTGCATGCAAGGACTATTCTGGTGACTTAGACCTAAATAACCCAGTTGTTATGCCTCATGCAATGGGTTATTTTTTTCGCACCATATTCCGCTTCAAAGTCCCATACGGTCCATATGAACTCACAGCAGCTCTTACAAACAAAGCACTAGTTTTGTGCTTTTCCACTTGGCCCAGGTTCCGGTGATCTGTCAGCACTATCACGTCGATTTTCGTTGCGCGTTTATCTAGCATGAAACTGGAAACGTCTGTAAGGAAAATCAGAACTGAGGGGTACACCAGGAAATTTTAGTGAGGTCGCACTTTTTACCACTGGGGGTACTATTATGATAACCATATTATTAATGGACTTCAACAGCAAAACCTCTAGTTTATTTCCGAGTATGCGGATCATAACATGGTACTAGTTGAAAGTGGTGTTTAACTCAACAACTTTGACTTATATCACCACCAAAGTTGCCGGAGAACAAAAATAGGTGGGGGATAGTGACACACCAGTTTATCCCACGTTAGCGTAAGCCGTGTGAGGTTACGCCTGTATAGGCGTGTACACGTTGTGTGTGAGAACAAATTCTTGGTAAATGTTAGCGAAATTGGTGAGCAAACCAATAAGCGGATTCCTCAGGTATAAGCGGCCGATAAATTAAAGGAATCTACCACAAAGAAAATACTGCTAAGTAATCCGGAAATGGGATAGTGTGCGGGCCAGAGTAAGGCCACTTGAAGGAGTTAGGTAAAATCGTCTGGTTCTTAACACAAACTTTTTTCTTCTCTTTGTTTCCATAAATTGTGCTGCAGTTTCTCAGGCAACAAAGTGACTAATTTTTCTAAACCTGTTTTTTTAAAATTCAATGCAAATACACCTGACTTGGCCCTTCTCACAAAGCGGACTCCTTTGGCCATAGCAATGAGGAGCCTCATGTTAACAAAAAGCGAAATTTTAGTAAACTACAGGTTTCACTACTGCATTACTCAAAAGGCAACCCGAACAGCGTGGTAGTTAGAACTTTTCCAAATACGCAGAAACTTGAGACCTTAAACCACCCTGGAAAAACATCTCCCAGAATTATAAAGTGGACTTAAAAGGGGGCAGAAAATTGTGTAGACATGCATATTGGCGCAACACATTAACCGAAGGACATTTTACAGTATCGCACGTCTATGTTAAGTTTCGTGGGAGATGATAAATTGCACAGCCACCAAACACGTCAACACACGTGACAAGGCCACGTGACCCCAACCTCCGCGTAAAAGAGCGTGCATTAACTATCGTGACGCATGAGGCCATCAGGGATTTAAGTCTAAATATTTTGAAGAAATATCGATTTGTAGAAAGCGTCCCGAACGCGGGCAGCCATTAATGTACAGACTGTGCTCTGTGAGCAGGATTTCATGAGAACACACCACAACAATCACAACGTTGAATATGACCGACTTTCACACACTCATACCCACAAGCATCCAGGTCCCATCCATACTCACAACCTAATTAGAGCTTACATCGAGTTACAAAGACATCTCTTTCGCTCATAGCCCAAAATACTAATTAAATTGAGGCCCAGCTGCGAGACTGTGTAGTAACTGATCCATATTCAACGAAGCATTCGATTAAGAGGTCGGTCACTAGGTACACGGGTTACACATCTACTCCATTGGATGAGCACGTCAGAATTTTCCCCGATTCCAGTAACCGGTGCAAAATTAAAAGAACAAATGTTGGGTTTAACGAGGGTACGTACTATAACCACAAACACACGGTGAGGTTGAAGTCACAAATTTTCGCTTACGAGACCAGGTGCGAACATGTGGATGGTAAATCCTCGACTTTAACGAGTGTGTGGAGAAAGACTGAAGAATGACTACGTAAGTACCTCAAGAGATAAGGACTAGCGACCCCACTCTGGTGAAATCAGTATTATTTAGGTAAGTGAAAAGTGGCGCGTCAGGAGCAAGGGTCAATGTACATTTGGAGAGTGCAGAAAGTGCAATAACGGCCAGGGTCATTATGTAGCGATGCGAAAGGGTCTTAACGCTGATGAAAGATGAATGTTTTGTGAGACTAAATATAGATCGAGATGCTAAAGTTCCATGTCTCGTGCTTCATCCTCCGAATAATCTGACATCGAACTTTCTTCATCTGAGCTTGATTCTGCCCCTCCTTCTTCCGCTTTCAGGACCTCCTCTGTTGCAAAACGTTGAACGTATTCTACAGCAGAGGAAAACACTGAATAACTTACAACAAACACAAATATAATTGAAATTATGAAGTTGATTTTGACTAAGCATACTAGCATATGTGGTGATTTCAATAAAAAAATTTGCTGTAACGGAAAAAAGGGCTACATAAACTGTTAAATAAAACTGTCAAAAATACTGTAGACGGTAAAGCAAGGAAAATTGTACCACTTAACGTCATAAAAGTATCTAACATAGGTGGAGAATAGAATGTACAGTACGCAGAAGTAACCAACCTTTGACTTTAGAAACGTAGTCCATAGGCTTGTGAATAAAAAGTGAGGCAGCATCGCTATTAAGTGGATCCATGGGGTTAGGGTAGGCCAGAAGTTGGGGCAAAAACGATTCGAAGATATTTGTAAGATCTAAGACTGCATAAAATACCAAAGAACACTACCATATACAGCGGTCCACTGTTGATTAATAACATCTAAGCACACAGTGCCGGACCTATACAAGGGTTACAGTTCAGTCATGCATAATGAATGAGCCTACGCTTCATCTATGTTTGGATGAAAAATCTTATTCATGAATCCAATAGACGGTGATTTAAATGGGTAACGTTCCGGAAGTTCGACGCGCACTTTCCAAATTCCACCTTCGTAAGGCGCTAAAGAAGAAAGAGTTACGCAAAATAATGCATACTTTCAGGAGGTCCATTAAACTTAACCATAAGTTCATTTAGACCTCCCAGAACAGTAACTTCATACTTGCTTTCAATCCTAAGACAAAAGATAAAGACAAAGGATTAACCAAAGTCGAAAAAACGATAAGACAGAAAATAGGAGGAATGCTATTGTTGTAATAAATCTGGCCGGTGTTAAGCATTGATCACATACAACTTAACAACGTCCGTATCGATCCGCTTTTTACCAGGACTTGGGGAGGACATCTTGACTAGAGGCCCAGAAAGCGGAAAGCGAAATTAGCGAATCAGCTGAGCGTCTGACCTAGAATGAAATCGAAACCGAGGTTGATCGTTATTCCAAGGTCAAATGGTTAAAGGCCTAGTTTCAGACGATTGACAAAGCATTTAAATTCAAGTATAAATGATATTGAAAAATTAATGTTTCTTTTTATAAAAGTTGCACCATACTTTTATTTAAAGATGGAAAATCTTGCGCTTTTCAAATATGAATTTTGATTGAATTTTACTTAAAAACTGATATTGACAGTTAGGTACACAAATTATTGAACAAGGCTCCCGTCAATTAAAGACCATTCATGACATTTTTACCTAATTGTACAAATTACAAAACTTAAAAGTTTTAAGTTTAAACTATAACATTAGAAATTTCACACGAGTGTGTTAACACACCTATTAGTCCACCGTTAAATATGCTTCCATGTCTTAGTGCTTATGGATAAATAGACTTTTGGCTTTCAAGAATGTACGTTAGACATGGGAAACCTAGAAAATAGATGAAGCCACATCATGGAATGTTCATAATGATGAATGCATGATCTGACACCTGACTACGGATTTGTTCTAATGACAGGATTACGTTTAGCTCCCAAGTTTTAAAAAATTGCAAAATCCAAATGTTTAAGCATTATGCCACAAAGCTAGTCTGACTTATGTAATTTTGTTTACGTGTTAGGTGAAATTTAATGGTTACTCCTGAAATTGGATGCTCGTGATAGTAGCTATTTTATAACAAAATATTCACGCCTCCTCCTTTGAAATTACTGTGCTTTTGAATGTGATAAGGTTATGATTTAGATCACATCAGGATAATGGGCCTACTTGGACATGGATGAGGAAAACGACCATCAAAGACGAGAAGGCCTTGAATCATGAGAACCAAGACATGTAATACATTGACAAAATAACTAGCTTTGTGTTCAAATTTTCAATAGTTTAAAATTTAGAGAGGTGCAAAAAAAAAATAGGGAAACGACAAAATTTTTGCCAAGTCTGAGAAATTTCATGAAAGAATAAGAGGTAGGAAAAACATTTGGCTCCCGTATCCTCATTTTTTTCTCAAAAAATCCAATTCTATTAACTGCATTTATGAACTGCAATTAAAAATCACTATAAAAAATCTGCAGAGGCCTCCAGCAGCTATTTTAATCTGCATAATGAGGTCCGTCACCAGCAATTATTCTATCTGGCCACAAAAGTTCCAACAAATCGCATAGTTTATTAAAGCCTCTGATAATGCCAGACGGCTTCCATGAAGCCAACGTATATTTCTCCAGTCATTTGTCCGCAGCTACTGAAGCAATGGTCGCTGGTGCACGCATTCTCCACGTGGTCATAGATTGTACCACTGGGTTATCAAATGACACTGCAAGCATTATCCAAAATTTTTAGCCAGTAAGGGATTTGTGATACTATCTTCTCTAACTCACATTACAGAAATTCCTTAAATTTGTTCCTCACAAAGTCAAATAGACAGACTTAACCTATCGTCGACACATTGAAGCTGGTTATGCCTAAATTTCGTGGGTAGGAGACGACATCCCATTGCATGTACTCTTGATGTATTATCCAGACATGGTTAATATAGAGGAAGAACGATGAAGGAAAATATTTAATGCAAAGTAGGGTTAAATATACATGGACGAGAAATCGGGGACAGGGCACGGAGACACTGAATTGATGGAGAAGCTTTCCAATGTACCTACACTTCGACACATTTAAAAGGTCGACATCGACTATAGTCTCATCAAAACAACAAACCATAGATCAAATGACAGTAAACAGGTCTGCACTATTATGACTGAGTAGTCGCAGATTCTGGCAACGGACACTAAACTATATCGACCCGACGAATCACCACTACACGTTAATATATCGGAGGATCCAGTAGTCTGCAACACTGATTACAGCTTAATTGAGATTACGTTGTTGTTTAAACAACTCTAAATACGCCACCCCACGGCACACCTTAGCTGTTCATTCTAATATCTCTCAACCATTGGTTATGGCGGGATGAGCACTCTGCACCAGGTTTTATTGCTGTCCTAGATTTAGGTAGGTTGTAGCGCTCTTAGGAAGTTCGCTTAACTGCACTAGGAGCCACAACCACAGCAAACAACTGCTTGATGTATTTCCATGATGTGGACTTATCCCACATCCACTCATGCTACTAATCTACGTGTTGAACTAACGATTCATGTTAATGGCAGACCCAAGGCGAAGAATTTTAAGAACGGCACCGATTAACCAACATTTCCTTCTACATTAATTTCTGGAGGACTATAGTTTTTATTCCTGACATTCAGCGAAAGTCCAAGCGTAATCAAAACAAGACGTTTCACTCGCGGGTCCACATCTTGGAACAAGTAGAATACCCCTTCAGTTTTCAGTGTAAAACTGAAGGGAAGCCCACCCGAAGAACCCTCTCACGTCCATTAAAGAAGAATCATCTTTACCATTATTTGATAACATAGCCTGGCTCTGTCGTATTTCTAGGAAATCTAACTAACCTGCATCTAGGTGTCTAAACAATACCTCAATGAGGCAAGTGGGTGCGATTGCCACAGCCTACATTTTCAGAAAAATGCGCCATTGGTCGCTGAAATCCCGAGTGTTTTTCCAGAATGCAGTTCCCCGTATTTAATTCTTAAAAGGAATTTTTCAGCAATCAAAATGCATGACGCGAACTGCTAGAAAAAGCAAGTCATGAAGCTTAAGCAACTGAGTTAAAAACTAGGGTTGACTGAAAAGAACTTCAATCAAACCCTTGGAGGAACAACGCGCGATCGACCTTTAGTTAAACCTGTTGGGTCGAAAACCGAATAATAAAGAAGCCGTTTGGGTTTGACCACACGTTAGTTTATGACCCTGGAGGTAAATATACCACAATACCACTGGGCGAATTATTCAGCGAGATTTTACTCTAAAAGAGGTACAGAAATATATTGTTGCCTTCGTAGGAGTCTTCAACAAAGGCTTTGGAATTTAATACTACAAAAGAAAGACAATAAGAAATGCATCATAACAGGAAAAGGAGCGTGTGCAGGCTCACGAGACGGCCAGTGAACCTCCGATCGTTTGAAGAGAGTGGACGATGGAAGGAATGATCGGCACTTAAGTTGTACGGCTCGCTTAGCACAAGCTCGCAAGTGAAAGGAGCTAGGGTGAGATTAGATTTTATACACATATGTAAACTGTATGGTACATACGGACACGAGAGCAAGCATATTAGAAGTCTTTGTCCTCAAGAAAGCTGTATAGGAAAATGAACTCCTCCTTCTTCCGCTGACTCATTGTTTGGAAGTCATAGTATATGTAAGTGCCCGACTCAAATTCCTCGGTGATCTGCTTAGGCTCCTCGTTGCGTTGAAACCAGGTCATATATTTCGTGTGGAAGCGCCAAGACATCCGCTTTAGGGCTTTTGCAGCTAAGTATTGGGCCCTTGTTCCCTCAAAATAGTAGAAGAGGAAGAAAAGCGTTTGGGCATCCAACTTCATAAAGTATTCCTCTGTGTCAGAGCCCTTCAACGGTTCAGATGGAAAGTAACTTGGCACACTAATCGGTTTCTTGTAAACGAGCATACGGGATTTTTCAGTGTCACACGGCAGTGATAGACGACGGTAGGCGCTCTCCAATGCTTGAATTTGACTACGAAGCTAGAAAGTAGGCAAAATTACATTGACGCTTTGGCAGTCTGCATATGCACATTTGGGACTTATCAAACCGAAGAGAATATCATACACTCCTTACTGGAACACGATCAAAAACGTTAATATTGGACGTACTATAAGCGGTAAAGATGAGCATCTGGTCCAGTTGCGCCCTGCAGAGGTACTTAATTTTGCTATTTGAAATTTATCAGTGAAGATTGTTTCTGAATTAGTACGTTGATTGGTTTTTAACAAAAAATCAGTCTCAGATAAATTTTGTTACGCTTCAAGCAAAAATGTTATGGTCAAAAAAGCAATATTAAAAGGCTTGTAATATTAAAGACTTCAGTTTAATGAGCGCAAAACTAGAGTCCAAGACAACTGAAAGATTAACGAGCTAAATTCCCTACCACCGTAAACGCGTACATATTAAGAAAAGCCTGGAATGCCTACAGAGTTGATTTCAGTGAAAACCACAAAGTAACTATAAACTGTAACGTTTCGCTCCGAAATTATAAGCTAGGCTGAACAGTGCAATAACAAATCTAATTTTTGTAATATTATAATGAGCGACAGCTTTTTTAAAACACTCCAACTTCCCCATCTAATGCTTTTGAAGGGGCTGTTGTGATTCGTGTTTACTCGGTCGCCCCACCTCCGACACAGGGTTCCCCTTTTCGCAGCATGGCGCCAGCCGCGCGGATCCTCAACTCCCCCTTCATTGGTGCAAACGGTCATCCTAAATTACCCTCACACCTAGGTCTCGATGTTAACGCATGTATGACACACATCCGAGGTATAAATACACACGCGCGAACCCCACACACGACACCAACGTGGTTGAGCTCTAAAGTTAACGGTTGTGTCCACGTCCTCTCCGATCTTATTCTTCATCGCGGGTATCAGGGAAACGTAATCGGGCCAGGGTTAATTCTGCGGCCCCGGCGTGGTTCAAGACCACATGTTGGGGCCCACAACAGGGCTTTCCAAGTTTCATGAGATAACCTCAAGAAATAATTTAGACCGAACGCATTAAAAGCAAGCTAGGCAAATGAAATTGAGAAGTTAATACTTTAACTACAGTAAATCAGTTAAACAAAGTGGTCGTAAATAAAGAAGAGCGTGTAAAAGCCGAAAACATGTAAGCAAAATAAAGTGGTACGACAAAATAAACTAAGCGTTCTTGAACGCTTCGGACACAAGGGCGGCTTCGACTAGTCACTTAGTCAAACATACAATCTTACTTTAGAAATCTGTACAGATTTCTAAAGCGTAGAATTGGTAAAATTGAGAATTCTTCATCGAAGAGAAGACAAAAATTAAAAATGTTATCTGGCGACAATAAAAGCTAATTCAAACGGAATAATGAAGCCTCGCATAAAAGTTTTGATAAAGCAAAATCCTATGCAAGCAGCACTAATTAGTAAAGGTAAAATAATATGCCTAACAATCTCTAACTTCTAATATGGGTCCTCTAAAAGTTGTTTTGAATTACTACCAGAAAAGAACTACGGAAGATTATGTTTTGCTGGAAAAGTAAAATTCCGACTTCAAGTATACTAGTTTGAGAAACGGACCAACTCAGGGCTGAACTCTCAATTATAAGGTCAGTTTGAATTCACGAGTCTACATGACGACGCGGCTGGCTACAAATAAAGCATGTTGTGTATCAACAAAGGCACGATAGTTCAACCCAAAGCAGGTCCAAAATTGACGCAAAAACCTACTGGTACCCATAGACAAGTACAGAATTCATAGGTTCTGGGCATTCACCTACCTCTGAAGGGAGGGTACGCTGCCTGTCAAGCTGCTGATTCCGGAATGGCGCCAAAGCATCACGAGGATGGACAACAACAAATGGATTTGGAGACTGGTTGTGCTGTTGATGCATGACTGCAGTCATAACTGCGTCAGCTGATGGTGGAGAACTCGTTGACGTTTGTGGCGTGACTGCAACACTGAAAGTTGGAGCAACCGCTTTGGGGGCAGACATCACTGACGAGGATGTCGAGGAAGGAATGAATGACGTTTCTGTAGCAGTAGATGGCGTAAGTGGGGGAGATGTTATTGCTACGACAGTAGGACCGCTGCTTTGGGCCCTTTCTTTAGCTTCCTCAGTTTTTCTTTTCTCGTTTTTGACTGGAGTCGCGGACGGAGTCGGTGTTGCAGTCTTTAACTCCGGTTCATGTTGTTGTTGGTGCTCCTTTTTTGGTCTATCTTTTTTTGATTCACCCGCAACCTTAGCATAATTTTCTCGGTGAATCTGTGCAACATCGCAAGGAGCGACTGTTCTTTCAGATTCGGGCTTCACATTTTCGGAGTGCTGTTGTTTAGAGGCAGCGCCAGCAAAAGATTTCTTATTAGGTGATGGTGCTGCAATAGAAGTATTGGCGAGATGGAACGATGAAGGAGCAGTTAAATTAACTGGTGCTGAAGCTGGTTGTGATTTCGCACCTTTATCCTTTTTTTCTTTAACCGGGGTGCTTGTAGAGGACGACGAGATTGGTGCAATCACGCACTTCTCTTCAGAGGAGTTCTTAGATCGCTCTCGTGACGAAGACGCGTTGGAGGATGTCGAAGATCCAGGAGGCAGTGGACACGTAAAGGCAATTGACTCTTCGCCGCTGCCATTTTTGATGGGAGGAACGACAGGAAGGATTGTTGAGGGGTTTGGATCGTAATCCAGAAAGCTAGTAGAGGCCAATGCGTTTGGAGTCATGATAGCACCATCCCCCAAATCTTCTAAATGCATATCATCGTAGAGAGACCTGTAATCTTCCACACTAACATCATCAATCGACTCTATTACATACTCAATGGGATCCTTAAGAGATCGGACTTTCGAACAATCTAGGCGCTCGTTGTCTAGATGTCGCATGACAGTCTCAAGCTTTTCCATATGGTATGCACAAAACTCCAACTTTTGCTTCTTATCCTCAACGACCGCAGCCTTCTCTTTATCACCTCGCTTCTTTTTTCCCGTATTAGACAAATTCTCCAAATCATACTCATACTGCTCAGATTTAGTTTTTAAAGCACAGATAGATTGTTTTAACCACTCGTCCAACTTCTCCTTTTCTTTCTGCAAAGGGTCCTTCTTCGCATCGGCAGTAAGGAGTCCTTCCTTTGAATATGCCTTGGTTTTTGTTTCCTTTTCAATAATCTTAAACCTTTCCATGTCTTGTTCAATCAATTTGCGTGCTTCTAACAACGGTCGTTTGTCCTTAATGTCATTACAAGTATGCCATGTTTTAATCTGATCTCGAAAACGTTGAAGGCGTTTGATTTCTTTCTTAAGATCAGCTTCGAACTTTTCTTTTTGGGTCTGATTATTTGAACTTTCGAATTTATCCAAGATTTCCTAAAAATCAAGTAACGAGAAAAAGGATAACCAAATCAAGGGTAAACAAAGCACATAATGTTAAGTCTATAGTGAGTTCACAGCTTATAAGTTTGAGGAAGTACTAAGAATGTTTGCGTTTGGATGAAGCACCAACTTTCACGAACTACGGGCTTTCAAATAATAAAGCTTCATGAATTACATGTTCACATGGCAGGTCACAAGAGACTAGCGATTACGGGAATCATAAGACGGAGATTTGCATATCGAAAGGATGGACGTTCTTAAGAAAGCAAAAAAAAAGTTCGAGCGCGCTTTCGTTTTACGAGAGTGATAATGGACCATACACCTCGCAACTAGACGATCTTTTAGAATCAACGATTATTACGCTTTATTAAGATTTACAAAGCATTCAATGACAGTCCGGTACAATAACGCTACCTAAACAGAACAAAAGTGATCCCAAATATTAAAATAAAGAAACTCAATTTATGCCCGGACGAGCTTGATTTATTATGAACCAAAAAAAATATCGCAGGGCAAAAAAGGCGCATTAATAATGAGAGAGATTAAAAATGAGGATGAAAATAATATGCAATGACATAATCGATAATACCTGGAATGAAGCACGGCCCTCCTGAACCCGCTTCAGTGTTCTATCAATGTCACACTGCAATTTCCTCTTGTCTGCCATTGCAATTTAATTGGCATTGGATGACTAATCCACCCGCCTCTAGAATAAATATTTAAACATAAAATTGGAATAAAATTGTCTGAAACACGTGGGTCGTTACCATAAGTACCTGTGATTTTAAAAAAATTAAATTAGCTTAATTTATTTAATGCCCTAAATTGAAAGTATATTGTCCAAGTTTAGCATTCTAAAATTAGGCATTAATTTCTAAATAATAGAATTTAAATTTGCATTATAAAACCTTGCTGATCGTTAATAAAATCTAGAGCAAGTTTTTAAAACGTATTCTGTTTTAAAGGACATTTCCGTTACAAAAATAATTAAGTAAAATTATTTCAAAAAACATCTTGAGTTGCACATTTAACATTACTTAGCCAAGTACACTAAAAAAATGTAAATTAACCTTTGTTGGCCAATACCGTCTAGAAATATCTACAAGCTTTAGATTTTGAATAATGGGGCCTGCATTAATAAATAATGAGATAGATTGTTTGGATAGGGTATGATAAGTTGTACTTGTAGCTAAATAAGCATCCAAACTAGGACATTGCTAAGCAACTCAGGAATAATTGTCTTACTTTATTTTTTTACAAAGGTAAATGAGTAGAGTGATACTGTGTTTAATTCTTGATTCCTACAAATAGCGTGGAATTAATGGTCAACCATAAAGTCACCAAATTTTACTTAATAAAGTTCTTTAGAAATAATTTGAAGTCAGATATAAAATCATTTGGAATCTATTTAGAAACTGCCGTGTCACTTCGCAAGTATCGTTTCTTGTGTATAAATTGAGGAAAATCATTCTTTAATAGGAATACCTGAGGCATGTTTTGACGAAGACTCGAACAACAGCCAGAGTTTTTTGTGCAACCAAAAGCCAAAACCGTCAATCACATGCCATACAGCTTGCGTTGCTCAATATGTAGAACATTTCCCCCACCATTCTTCGCTTGTTTTTTACTTATATTACGAATACGCTATTCAGTTTCTAAGAGACACGAATAGCTAAGCTTGTCGTGATCCAATATATTTGCGTCCTCGAACGTCACGACTGTCGAACACCCGAGCTCTAGTATAAAATAGACTTATAAAGCAGAACAAGCTTTATTGGCCAACCACAATCCAGAACCGCAAGCTAGGCGCCGACCATGTGAGGTTCACCACGTTAGATACGCCGCTCATCATTTCCGGTTCCCCATTCGTGACTTTCTCTGTATGGCTGCCTGTCTCACTTGCATGCCATTGGATCGCAGACAGACAGAGGATTACCTTAGGCCAGCTCGGACAAATATGTCTGCGCCCTGATCCGTCGCCACACTGACTACCCCTCAGGAATGAAGCTGTCCTCGGCTTCCTGCTGGGTACTTCGCACTGTTCACTATTGTTAAAATATCTAGTTCGACACTACCCGTACCCCATATCTGGCAGGTTAGTGGCCCATGCGAATAGCTGACGAGGGACATTGCACTTGTAGACTTGCAGGAAAGACTCATCATCCATTGAAGGTCCTTCGCAGATGCAGTACAGCTGGCTTCCGCTGTCCAAGTCGTCGTAGCTGAGTTGCCAATGCCTCTTCAGATGCAGTAGTCCTAATCCCGGGCAATGTCTATGGATCCACTTTATTGGACATCGGATGAACGCCATGACAATTTCAGCTGGCATTCAAGGGCCTCTGCCTGTGTTGACCATAGAAGAGAAAGGACTGGGGTTCGATTTGCGTTATTCGAACGCATCCGCTGCCACCACTGTAGAATACCCAAGCCCTAATAGGAAAAAGACAGGTACAACAGACCAGGCTTTATTGACCAATCAGAAGCCAGAGCCACGCGTCAGGCGCCTTCCATCCGAGTCCACCGCGCTGGCCATGCCGCTCATTATATACTGCATCTCATCCATGTCCTTCTCTGGTTGGCTGCCTTCCTTTCCCGCATGCCATTGGATCG